CTCCAACCAGCAGTCTACAGACTGACCAACTCCATCTATCTCCACTCCAACCAGCAGTCTACAGGCTGCCCAACTCCATCTATCTCCACTCCAACCAGCAGTCTACAGACTGACCAACTCCATCTATCTCCACTCCAACCAGCAGTCTACAGACTGACCAACTCCATCTATCTCCACTCCAACCAGCAGTCTACAGACTGACCAACTCCATCTATCTCCACTCCACCACCAGGTTCAGGCCTGGGGGGGAACAGCCCTGTTCTTTACTCCTGTTCATGCATATCTATCAAAATTCAGCGCTATGTTTCCTGCCGAGGTCTGAGCGCCAAAGACAAAGTAATAAATAAATAAATAAATTTCTCCTAATTTTCTTTTCTCTTCATGTGAGTTTTTCAGATTGAATTTTTTTTCTCTTAATCTGGTTTTAGTCCCATAAGTTTTCAACTGTTTCCTTCTAAATATGCATTTTTGTGATTGCGTAAATTACCATGTTCTATCTCTTAAATTAGCCTGTTTATCGTCATACATTTGCTACCTGTTTCCATGTTTCTTATATTATTCTTGTAAAAATGCCACTTTACACTCAAAAATTTTAATTCCAATTTTTTTTTTCGTCTTTGAATGGCCCTATTACGCCGCTGTAATAATAATGATATAAACAGATTTAATTTTTGTTTCTGTTTTTCTTGTTTTCCCTCCATTTTCCCCAGGCCGCATGGCGCCCCCTAGCGGCCGCCACCGCTGATGTTCCTGAAGAGGATCAATCTGTTTGATCTCCTCCATTAGGCTGCATGGAGGAGGAGGAGGAGGAACCTGGACTGAGGTTCCCCCTGGACAGGTTTCCCTCCGCTGATGCTCATCATGTGGACCTTTGGTTCGGTCCAGTCCAGACCCACCTGCTCCTGGTTCTCCTCCCTCTGGTTCGGACTCTGCGGCTGAGGAGACCTCCTTTGTTGCTGCCTCCTTCCCATGTTGGTCCTGCAGAGAAAAACAAATCAATCCTCTGATCCCAGCAGAGGAATAAAGATGGCCGCCCCCTCAGAACCCGGAACCCACCCAGCGGTTCTGCTGCTGCTTCTAGAAGCTTTCCTCCTCCATCCTCTGTCCGTGATGGAGCCCCGCTCCGCGGAGCGCTCCTGCAGGATGCTGCCCATCGGAGAACCGAAGCCGCCCCGCCCCGCCCCGCTGCTCGCTCATCTAGCTTCCCTCCAGCAGAGGGCGCTGCTGTTCAGACAGACTCCACCACTTTTTTCCCTTGTTTTTAATGCTTTATTGGCAATACCGTGTAACATTACAGAATTAATTCAACATCAAGCATAGATATACAACAGTTGGTGAAACATTGGACAATTATAGGTGAAAGTATAACTTTAAGAAAGACGGGACATAGAAGATATGAAAAATAAATAAATAAAACACAAAATAATAATAGCTAGGGGTTTAAGTGATTAAGTGATTGAAAATACAAACAAAGTTCTTTAACCTCTAGAACCCT